AATATTCCCAGCTACTCATTCCTTGTCTGAATTCTTAGATAGAAAAATCGTCTCTCTGTGAAAAGCACAGATATATCTTTATTTTGAATGACAGAGAAAAAATCCTGATGAAACATTTGGGAGCTTGTCTTAACACAGTCCAAATACTGTCAAAGATCAAAACATCCGAAAGATCAAAAATGTGACAAGAGAGTTCTACAAAATGCACAAGCAATTAGTCCAGAGGCCCATCAGCCCAGCATTTATGGTAAGAAATGATTATTACTACATGAATAAATGTGTTGCTAAGGCACATAACATATATAAGTCCTAAGTGGCTACATGGCTTTTTGTGTTGTAAAGATCACAAAACCTTGAATTCATGTTGTAAAGACCACAAAACCTTGATTTTATATGCAATGATTCAAAATCTGTTCAAAGATGTGGTGAAACTCCCACTGATTTCATATGGCTTCTTTCTGTACTGTAGATGAATTCCTACCTTATCAAATGCAAGTTTTCCCATCAAGATTGGCAACTTCACAACTTCCACATGTATCTTTAAAATGTAATATAACTTCCACATATCTTCTCTTGTTTAAGGCTTCCTTCTTTCTTTCTTTCTTTTTTCTCTTCCTCTCCTCTCCTCTCCTCTCCTCTCCTCTCCTCTCCTCTCCTCTCCTTCTTTGTTCTGCTTGCAACAGCTTAACAACTGAATATTAATGAAATCAGTACACTTGAACAGAAGATCAACTGCAGAACCTTTTCTTCATGAGAAATGCTAAGGCTCTGCAGCCCTCTGTGCTCCATTAGTAGAGATGTCATTACGGTGTCAGAATGAGCTTAATTTAGGGTGGGTAACACAGTGAGTTTAAATTACGTAAATGTAATTAGTTTATTGCTTAATGTTTTCAGCTTGTTAGTATTAAGTTACGGTGTTTTCAGCTGAAGTAACATCTTGATGAATGGCTTGGAATTTTGAGCTCGGTGGTGGTTTTGGAATTCTAATAAAAGCCTGATAGGATTCCTTCAACACACCACAGCCAACCAAAGACATTTTCAAATATGACCTGATTAATATGTTGTTCAAAGAAAGAACAGATCTGGCCTGAATTTCAGCCTTCCTAGCTGCTCAGATCAAGCGTGGATTTTCATGTTTGCATGAGCACTGGCTTTGTTAGTTCCCAAAAATATTTATAGTTTACTCATTAAAACTGCTCAATACCAAATCCTGTTTCTTTTGTGACCTTGTCTCTGCCACTCTGTATCTGGAACTCAGGTCCTTTTCTCAAAAACATGGCTTTATCTCCGGTGCTGCACTCTAGATCTAAAGACCACAGTATCACAACTGTGTTCACCTTACAGCACAGATGCACAAGCTGCCTTGCTTCCAGTGCGGTGTCTCTTCTACTGTTTGAAAGCATTCTTGAGAATTCAGAGTAAAATTTTCCTCTTCCTCTCATAATATGTTGCTTTCAGACTGTACAAACTGATGATCGATATACTCACAATGAAAAAAATATGCATTAATTTGTATGTATTCTAATAACTTTTTGTGTCTCTTGCTTGGATTTTTGCTTCTTAGTAGAAGTAATTTTCTTTGGTCTGTATTTGCGCAGAGCTCAACACAGTCAGCATTAGATCTCTCCCTAGAACATCTATATGCCACTGACATACAAATGAATCAATATATAAGCAAGCAAAATTTGAAATATATCACAAATTGGTTTACAACACTGCAGTTATTTAACCAATGTAGCTTATTAGTTTGCATAATATCCAGCTTGCTGAGACATGTTCCTTATTTGTAACTACCTACTTAGTCTTTTTGTGTTTCCAGTCTTTTCTGACTGATCAGAAAATGTTTTCTGAAAGCATATAAAGCTGACTACTCTATGTTCAAGCTGGGCTTGAACTGGGAAGTCATGTCATAAAAGTTCCCTTCAATTTGGATGCAGAGTCTTGGCAGAATTGCTTATGCATGAAAAAAAGTGATTCCTCCCCCACAGATACTTCTGTATACAATTTTGATATTTGTCTTTTGGCCAATAAAAATCAAAAATTCAAAAATAGAGGCAAATAAATACCGCTTAGTAATTTGCAATGTTTTCCATGCTCTGCAAGTTATGCGTTTGCAGTGTATCAAAAAATGCACTGGCTCATTGTGTACATAGCTGCAGCAAACAGTTGTTGTCAAAGAATGACTATCAGTGAAAGGTATGAACCAAGAAGATGCTAAGTGCGAAAAGGTAAAAGTACTGTAAACATCAAACAGAAAATATGAGAGAGAGAAAGGAAGAAAAAGAAACAATTTAAAATCATACAGCCTTGCAGATCGAAAGGAACTGATCATCAGATTTAAAAGGGGAGATTTATGAAATAAATTATAGTAAGGTTTGGAGTTACAAAAGCTGTATATGTATGAAACAAATGGAAACGACTATGTCGGATTACATTGGGATCAACTAATTTAGTGCTAGAATGAATAAGAGAAACCTTTCTAAACTACTAGGATTATCTGCAACCTAATTATTCCTGTTTGCTTGCATTCACCCTAAGAAAAAAACAGCACCTTCACTCATTAAAACTTCTCATTTTATATCCAGTGAGGAGAACAGAAAGCAGTTGTAATGGATCTTGCCAGCCTCAATGACACAGTAGCAGATAGAAAAATAAAAAAAAGTCTTCTTTTTTTTTTATCTCATTTTGTGTAGCCTTTCCAGAAACATGTACTTGAATATGTGAGATAGCAGCAACTTATCTGACTAACATCCTGTCTCTAATCTCAACTTCTGGAGCAAAATCATTGAGGCATCTATGACGAACATCGTATTCCATCATCATGTCCGTAGGTCTTTGCCCTAACTCCTCTGGTCACAGATGTGTTCCACAACGGAAGCAGCCCTAGTTGAACTAGCTAGCTATCTGTACATGGCCACAGAGAAAAGATTAGCAGCACTGCTGATACTGACTACCAGTAAGTAGTGGTCTACCAGTATTTTTCAAGTTGGAAGCTAATAATAGAATAATAATAATGGAATAATAATAATGGAATAATATAACGGAGGCTAAGTTCCAGAGCAATTGCAAAGAACTGCAAAGTAGCATCATACAATATCAAAGAGCATTTCTTCAGATGTTCTTAACAGTAAATACAAAATATTTACTTTCTTTCACTTTCCAAAGATGTTTTTTGGTATCCCCTCCTTCTCTCATCGACTGAACAAAGTAAGTTAGCCTTAACAACAAAACCTCTCTTGGCTTCTCATGCAGTCACTCTGCTGTTCAACAGGGAGTAGAAGCTCCTGTCTGTGTAATGAGGAACAGGTAAATGGGGAAGCTAGATTGCCTGGAGATTAAGTTGGAAAGCTTTATTTTCCATTTCCAGTAAGAATAGAATGAAAAATTTTAGTTTAATTCTCAGTTTCCTACTTTGTGTCACCATAATCCATTCCTTAAACTTATTTTAACCTCATATTTTATGTGTACATTTCCTCAATTTTATTAAAGATGTTTTTAAAATTTATTTCCCAGTAAACATATACACAAGTGGATGACTTTCATGTTTGTGGCTCCTGCTACAGGGGATTGTAAAATGGTGGATTTTAGACTATTTAAAATAAACCCCAAATCGCTCAGTTTTCACAAACATACATGTACAGGTCCTAGGGTGCACACAGTGTTGGAGCATAGGCTGCATCTGCCTATGCTGCTTTCAAGGAATTGTTTACTCAGCCTAAGAAAGGCCAAAATGCCCAAAAGGAAGGAAAAAAAAAAAAAAAACACTTGCACACTCTTCAGGAAAAAAGAAAAAAGAGAGAGAGAGAGAGACAAAAAGATTTACTCCTTAAGTATTTACTACACATGACCGGAAGACATTTCTTAAAGAAAAATATTTTGTCCAATTCGAAGAGGCTTCCAAATTGCCATAAGAAAATACCCATCTTCATCATTACCCAGAAAAAAATTAGTTTTCGTGGTTCTGAAAGTAAAGTTCAATCCTATGTTCTCAACTCTTGCAAAATTAACTATGATGTAAAGGACTTCCCTCCCAGTTGTAGTACTAGACTGTGTTTTGAGGCTGTGCATCTATGTAGGATCAGATCTCATTTTCATGGACATTTTGGCATTTCAGTCTAAGCACAAGGGAATTCATTTAAACTTTAACTTGGCTTCTCCCCGGAGCAAGGGAGCAACACAAACACACTGTTGCGCCTCTTCAAGTCAATATCCGACACAAGGAGGCTCAGCCAAGCTTGGGAAAGTGAAATCTGCCCCGTCGATTCATGTAGATCGAAGGATCTGGCTAGCCCTTGAGTGAGGAGGAGGGACCTGTAGCTGTCTTGTTCAAAATATCCTCCTTGTAACATGCCCCTTCTCATGTCATATGCTTTAGCAGTGACCCTTGCTTTTTGGGCAAGCCAAGTGGCATTTTCTGTGGCTGCCATGCATTAGTGTGGCCTTTCTCCTGTGCTAGGATTCCATAAGCTGGATGCAGATAATAGGATCAGGCCTAGTTGTTCAATTACAGCTGGTATAGAGAACTTCAGAGTGGGAGAGGAGACACAGCACTGCAATTGCAGGAGTTACAAGCTTACCTGTAGGAGAGCATGAAATAAGTACTGTTCTGAAGGAGTCCCATAGTTGACGAATGAAACTTGAAAGGTCTGCCTTATATCCAACAAACAACTCACAACATAACATTGTTTTTGTGATGGACCTTTTTGTTCTGAACTCCGTATGCAACCCTTTATCTCGGCAGCTCTTTCAGCCTCACCAAGAGAGAGAGAATGCACCTTCCCATCCAGCCCACCCTGTCCTCTCTAGATCACACCAAGCGCATTTTTTGAGCAGCGTTAGGTCTTTATTTACTCCCGGCAAGGGCACAGTTTTCTCCAGCCCCAAAACCATCACGTCAATGGAGTTTTGGAGAAACCAGCAATGGAGGCCTGGGAATTCAGATGTGAATTATTAAACAAAAACAATACCAATGTCATATTATGATGATGATAATGTGGTACCTTTTCCTTCCTTCTGACATCTCTTTCTTTGTACAATACATTTTCTGCTCTCGCTTGTAGCTGGGCAAGGATTGCCCCTTGCTGACGGGTGTTGTACGATCTCTCTGACCCTTACTTCATTTCCTCTTTTGAAACCACAAGTTTTTCCTTTCTTTGTGCAAGGGCTCCATGGACTCCACTCACTAGCTTCACAGTGCACTGCAATAAACATAGGACAAGCTGAGCCTGGCCAATACTGTTTTATATAAACAAGGCATATGGTACATTCATTTTATTGTGCATCAACCAAAAGATGGAAAAAATAATGGAATTAAAAAGGTTTTGTAGTTGTGAATTAATATAATTTGTCCTACTTAGGCTATATTACATAAAATAATGTTGAATAATAGTATTTCTTACTATCTCTACTGGTTTTGTAATTCCATTCCTGGAACAGAGCAACAACAATAAAATTGTTTTCAATGAAATCAGTTGCTGGGACTTATTCTGAGGATGCCTTGGTTTTGTGGAGATACAAATCCTTCTAGCTTCAGTGGAATTAACCTCGTCTATGCGTATATGAAAGCAGAGTCAAGTCATTGTGTCCAGCCGCTGCAGCTGGTCTCAAAGGTATTAAATTTCTGTGGAAATTAATAGAGTTATAAGGAACCATTTGGCATCAAAGGATATTACAGTAAGACTCAAATGTCTTTGATGATCTGCTTCTTGGTATTCAGCTTAAACAGTGAAAGAGCCATCATCTGTAATGTACACAAGGTGTAAATAGACAAAGTAGAGGCTATTTCGGAGTGGACATGGATGCAAACTTGCCAGAAAAGTACTCAATCACAGTTCCTAAATCAGAATGACTTGAATGCAGGTCACATGTTACTGGGAATTCAAAGATGTGCAGCTGGATACCTGTCTTAATAATATACTCTCATGACAATTACTCTGCTTTTTTTCCCATATGCTCAGTCCCCCTCTCTTGATAAAAGATAGTGCATATTTATGTTTAATTTGTATATACAACATGCTTAATATTATGTACCTCCACTAAAAATGAGAAAACTTCCAGCAACTCTATAAGGAGGACTGTGTAAGTCAATAGATTTTTCCAGCTCCAGAATTTACTTCCAAATGTTTCAAAATCTGAAATATAACTGACCTGAGGCAATCTATGAGCCTTCTTCCAGTGAATTTTCATGTGGGTCATTTTACTTTTCATATGACACTGGAGCTCTCCTGTTAAAATAATTGGCCTTCACGTGCACAAAAAAACGGTCTGTTTTTTCTCTGTAGCTTTAAATGGCTTTTCCTAGTTGAGACTGACTCATTGTTAAAGCAGCTACATTTAAAACACTTGGAAACAGCCATCAAGAAACAAAAATGATCCTTTGAATTTCTTTTGTAGATTAAAGTCTTTGCTTGAATGTAAAACTGTGAAAACCATCCCTACCACCTGAACTAATATATATATTTTAGAAGGCAAACGCCAAACTATTGTACATTATTTTTATTCCTGCATTGCTTCCCTTTTGAAATAAGCTATGCCTGTGTGGGTTATATGCATGGTGCAGGGAAGCAGACTTACATCACGAATGGACTACGCTTAAGTGCTCCCTCGTTGCTGGTGGCTGACGAGGTTACAGCTGCCACCGCAGTGTGCAGCCCTCAGCCACCACAATTCATAGCCAGGGTACTAAAATGATCTGAACCTTGCCACAGCCTCAGCATCTCCATAGCCTGGGATGTGAACCACAGCAGCTCAGAGGCAAATATTTCACTTGTTCTGCTTTCAGCTGGAGGGGTGGTAGAGGGATAGTGCAAACAGTTAGGTGTGGCGACCTCCAAAGTTGCCCCAGCATGAATAATTGGAGTCTGTGAGTCAGAGACTGAGGAGATACAAAAACAGTTCTCTTCTCTGCACCCAGTGAGTCACAGGACCAGTGCTGCCAATCTCATTCTTTTGAATGCCATGCTATGCGGTATTTTATTTTACTCCTCAGTTCCTGGAGTCAGGTGAGTAGGCAAAATTTGGCTTTGCTTTTTGCTTTTTTACTTATTCCTTTAAAGTTTCTAGCCTTCACCTTCGCGATGGTAAGCTTCAAAATGTTGACACACATGCTCTGAAGGCTCAAATAACACAAGATAGTTGCAACAAAGAGGTTAATATTTTAATCTTTAAACTAAATTTGGAGGCTGACTCAGGGTTTGGGAACCTTTGATGTTAGTGAGAGATGGCCTAAAACCTAACCATGCAACTAAGACATGTATGTTTTGCTGCATCAAGGTAGACCAAACATACAAGATGAAACAGGCCATATTTCCTGAGGCAAAATTGCCCTTAGCACTGAGACTGCGTTTTTGGGGCACAACAGAGCTTGCCTTCTGTGGAATGGCAGGCTTGGGAAATGTCTTGATTCTGTTGTGCAGGAGAATGCATCCCGCAGTGAAGGGAAGCAGGGCATTTATAGGACCAATTTAGGTTTCACTGTCCTAATATCATAATTATTCTTGCAACTCGTGCCCTCGCTGGACGCCCCCATTCCTTGTGAGGGCACCAGGCAGGGCAGGGACGTTACCCAGGGGACTGGACTTACCGATGCTGGTGCACTCCATAGTGTGATTGTTGGCTTCCAAACCATCAGGGCACTTTTCAAGGCACTTTCCACTGTATAAGTAAAACCCACTTTTACACTTTGTGCAGAAGTTTCTGGTGAAGCAGGTCTCACAGTCAGCTTTGCATTCTGAAATGCAAACAGTGAACAGTTTTGTTTTTTATTACTTCCCTCAGGTTTTGTCAGCAACCCTTTAGCATTTCCTGTATTCTCTACATTACTGCTAACATAGACATAAACAGTATATTTCCCAGCTTTCAGGCAGTTTTAAAAGAGGCAAATAAAAACTCGTATATGACAGACTCATGTTTGATATGCATGGCCATGCATTGCTAAAAAGTGAGCAAATGCTGTACAGTGTCAAGTTACTTTGTAGGACTTTTCTCTGGGGTCCATCCGTTAAATAACTTTTATTACCAGGTAAAAAATGGGAGAGTGAGTTGGCTGTCATTATTGCATTTTTATATTATCTAGGGGCTTAAAAACAGTATATTTGACAGTATATCAAAAAAGGAGTGGAGAAAATATCACCATCTTCCAGTTTATTTATGATGAAAAATATATAAAGGAGGCAAAATGTTGCCCAAATGATTAAGGATAGAATTGTGTTCTATATCTCCCAGCCCAGAGACAATAAGAATTTGTAATTTCCTGCAAATCAGTCTGAAACCCTGTCAGCTGGTCAAGGCATTTATAAGACTAAACTGAGTGTGAGACACAACTATAAAGAAACCAGGGCAAAAAGTCTGCAAACCACATGTCCAGCGAGTGCCATCTTCTCTCCTGGTCGTGGGAGACAGCTGGGGAAATTGCCAGTGAGCCTAAACTGCTCCAATCAGGCAGATTCAGTGGCCGTCCACCTCCACGCTTCAGAGGTGCCATCGCTCCATCCTGCTGCAGGAGTGTAGTGTCGCTACCCACTCGCTTCACTTTTGCATGAGGATGTAGAGGTGGAGACCATCTCCCAGGTCCTGGACAGGTCATTCATGCAGAGCTTCTGTAGTTTTGTGATTTTTCACTTTCAATTCTTGTTCAGATTAATATTTATCATATTAGCATAAAGGAACTGAACACATAAAGACTTGGCCTGTCCATCTGCTAATCTGTTGACTTGATGCCTAAGGACTCAACAACATTTAAAAGAAAACAAATATATCCATGCGTTTCCCGTTTTCCCAGCACTTACTTGCGCACTTATTAATGTCAGGATACCGTGTCCCATAATATCCACTTGGACATGAGGAAAGACATACTCCAATCTGCTTCATGCCAATCCTCTCCAGAACAAAAAAGAGTCTGGGTTTACATGACAGGCATCCGTTGTAGTCAGAGCATGTAGCACACCCTCCTTGGCAACCCTGGCTCACATTAGAATGCACTGAGAAGACAAACATTGAAAAAAGAAGGGGGAGAGAACAAGAAATTAGACAAGCCCGTGGAATAATAATTCATCTGCAATTGGAAAGTGGACCACCCTCGTCTCTGACAGCTCTTGAAGATTGCTTGGTATTTTTCTTATGTCTCTCATGACCTGACATTTCATTTCAGATATGTTTTCAGATGCATAAAAATGAGAAATTCAGCTGATGTGCTTACATCTTGCAGAAATAACTAACAGCAAATTATGTTTGAAATTGATTTTAGGGAACAGCAGCATCCTAGAAAATTATTGTTTTTCCTTTAGTCATTTCCATATCCCATTTCCTCTATGCGCTTGACTCAGGAGATAAATAGATGCTTATTTGTCATTGCATTTCCTAGCAGGTTATTAAAAATAACCTACTGCATAATTTCCTTCATTGACTAAATGTCATTTGATTGAATTCTGGTGTGCAGAATATGTCCTTCTTAGATCTGATGCTAATTTGCCTTAATAATAAGACACAGGAGAGACATCCTTCTCACTCTCCTTCTTCCCCTGGAATGTTCTTTCTGGCATGTTTTTAATCTCCAGCAATTACAACCTGATGTTCAGACTTAACTGTGGCATTTACCCTGCTCCAGTCCCAGCATGGAGCATAGGTAGGATTATACTTGCCCTTCAGTTGAATTGTTCTAATCCTTCAGACAACCAACGGAAAACTTATTACACCCATTGCTTAAGAGTGTTCAGCTCTTAAGGTATTTTGGGGGATGGGCATAGCAGAAAAGAGGGAACTATTGCAGAGTATCTTTTCAGTAGTAGACATTAATCAGTGAACTACTCAGTCACACAGTGAAATATCTTGCATCTTTCAGTGTTGTAGAAGTTCTTACCTACTTTTGCTTCATTTCTGGTTTTGTTCGTAAATTAGCATATGAAAAATGATTAAATATCAAGTAGCTCCCATCCCCCAAAATCTTTTCTTATAGAAAAACAGGCATTTTTGTAAGCGTCAGTTTTCATCTCTCAACTTGAGATGCAATAGTATTCTATAGCCAAGAGAAATCCTATTGTCTTCCTATTATGCCTTCTCCCTGCACCAGTGAATTTTTTATGGCAGTATCAGACTGTCACTGCCTCTCTGTGGGCCCCTTGGAGGTGGCCTAGAAGCCCCCACAAATCTGTGGCTTACAAGCTGAAAAACGCTGCTCTGGTAGTGGGTGACATCTGGATCTCTTCCTGTGAGCTCAGAGGAGATTTGTCAGCTGGCAGGAAAGTTCAGGAATATTTCTGCACTTTTGTTCGATTACAGTTTTGGCAGAAAAGATGTGGCCCAGGGAAGGAAAGAGAGCTGAACACTCGTACTTCTTGTAATAGGTGTTATAGACGATCAGTCCCACAGTCTGAGCAAACTCAAGGAGAGTTAAAATTAACTTTTCCCCTTTCATTGAACAAATGAGGAATTAGGGTTATTTCTTTCACTAGGGCTGAAAAGGTAGGAGAAAGAGCAAACTTTGGCCCTGCTCTCATTTCAGTGAGACTATAAAAAACAGATTCTATTTCCCCAGTGAAACACTGACGGTGTAGAACAACCACGAGGAACATATTTTTACCACTAAGACACACTAGCTCTATGAGAGCACACTGCTTTTCTGCGGAGCTGGAAGTTGTAACCCCAAATCAGTTAGCAAAGCAGATTTTGCTAGATTTTCAAAGTATGGAGTGCTCAAAAAGTACAGAACACATTTTCCCAGACAAGTCCAGAGAATATTGCTTTTGAAATTAAAAACCTGAAAAATTTGCTCTATTTTTAAAGAAGTAAATGAAAATGTCCTTGTCTCTCTCTCCCTTGTACTGTGGCTCTTGTACGAGGCGCTTTCAAAGGCAGACACAGTAACGTGATCTAAGAAGCTGTCATTATTTAAAAACTATCCATGACTTTGCTTCATTAAGTCTGACACAGGGAAGAAAAAGCAGCTGAAGTACAAAATATTTGTCATCAAAGCTGCTATATAAAATATAGATGATCACTTTTGACAGGAAACATATTATGTGTGAGCACCTGTGACAGATCATTTTGAATAGATTCTCTTGACAGAGAAAACTTTATGTGCAACTGCTCTGAGGTCAAACTTTGTGTGTGAGCCCTTGAGACGGAGGTATTTTATTACCAAGGGATGGTAATTTCTGTATACTTAAAATCCATTATTTCTAGCTAAGTTAAAATAAGTAAGTCAATATCCATTCAAAGGTTGCTTTCCTGTGATTTTATAAGTCTACATGTGAAGCAATGCAAGCTCTTATGCTTGAAAGTGCAGAGTTGAAGTCTTTAAGAGTCAGTATTGACATTTTAAATCAAAACCAACTTTTTATCATAAAAAACATTAAAGATATCCTTTTTTAGATTTTTTCTATTGTTCCAGACATTTCTTTGAGTGCTGCATCTGTGTAGTGAAACTGTATTTCACTATGCTTCTTTGAATGCTACAGATGCCATCAGTGGGTCAAACAAGGAGCAAAGCAGGTACTGCTTTGGCTGCTCAGCACTAGGTTTTGTCATTGAACCTGGGAGAAATTAAATGGTGGAAGGAGAATATTTATGTCTAGAAAATGAGCTGGCACGTCTGAAAAAAAAAAAAAGAAACTCCAAATCCAGTCAAAGATTTCTTGCCTGCTGGTTCCCACAAAGTAGAAAGCTGTGAAGGGCCAGTCCTGGCACAGAGGCCAAGTGGAGTCAGATGGGTTGGAGAAGGGAATGGGACAAACTTAAGCTATCAAACACACATTTCTTCCAGAACAAGGGATCTGTTTCTGAGTGAGCACTCCATCCACTCTGCAGAGGTGCTTGCCCTGTTGGCCATGGGTTTGAATGAAAATAAGCAATGACATTGTTCTTTGATCTGAACTTGGCACTCTAAAGAAGGTCCTTAATGAGAAGGCCACCAGAGGGTTCATTCTTAGAAGCTCCAGTCTGTGAGTCCTGAGAAAGATTCATGCTCCTAAACTTGTTATCAAAGGTGAAAAAGGAGGCACCTTTGAGCACATGAACATGCAGAACTTCAGACATCAGCACAACAACATCAACAGAGCCCAAGCACTTCGGCCATAGCACACCATGACAATGAGGAAGCTGGCAGAAATTTTAACTCTTTTCCCCTTCAACTCTTTTTTCCACCTGTTGAGAGATGAAAGTGTTTAAGAGACGCATCACAAGAAGCCGGAAATATTATTCTCATTTGGTAAAAAACAGCCTCAGTACATGGGACATAAGCATATATTCAAATTTCTATAAGTATTTTATATCTACTTTAAGAAATGTATTGAAGTCTACAGGTGAAAAGTGCTAGGAGAGCACAGAGAGCTCCTGTTAACCACAAGTTTTAGATGTGATAACCAGGGCAAAGGAGGCCCAGTATCTTGACCCAGAGGAGGCACTGTGGTCTCATGGGTTAAGCACTGGCTGGAGAACCAGGAGGTCAGGTTTTTAGCATGGCAAAGTGGTAAAACAAATGCTCTGTCTTGTAATCACTTGGCTTTGGGGACAATATGTACTTCACGCTAAAGATAAATAAAATAAAATAAAATAAAATAAAATAAAATAAAATAAAATAAAATAAAATAAAATAAAATACAACAACTGTCTACCATCCTCAGAACTGACTTTATACTGTTATGAGCTGTTATGAGCAGCATGCACAGTTAGAGATGATCCTACCACCAGCACAAGCAATCTGCTTTCTGCTGTTCACACATTCTTTGAACACAGTGAAGTTCTGCACTCTCAAGGATGGAAAATACAAGCACAAACTCTCACAGAAAAGTTCTTCCTTTCTCACACAAGCATAACCCAACCCTTCTAACTTTAATCAGGTACAAAAGTATTTATGTATGTGCTCTTGGCTGGATTTAGGTCCGGAATCCATCTATATCTTTCATTTTATAAAGCCTAAGTACTGGAAAACAGAGAAGACACTAAACTAATCTTGAATTAGTCTGCTTCCCTCCCTGGCTTTAAGCCCTTTCTGCTTTGAGCCCTTTTTTGTGCCTGCTGTTTGTTCAGATATTAGTTTTAAGCCTCATTAGCAAAAGAAATCTCTGGGGATTTTCCTTTTTCAGAATATTTTCCAAAGCCTTACTATGGAAACAATGAATCGTGATCTTCCAGTTAAAAATAGAAAGTTAAGGACAAGGAGTTGAATTTAAATCTGAACTTTCAATGGCAAAATGATAGAAGATTTTGATGAAATGCAACAAATAAATTGTAAAACTTTTAGCAAATACATTTTGCTCTCTGCTCTCTACATGCATACTGTATGTATATATATTCATAGCACATGTATATGTATAAATACACATATATACATGTATATGTATGCATCTATTTATACATATACATATGCATATGCATCTATTTATAAGTATATGGGATCAAAAAAAAAAGAATGAAAATTAATAGGGAATCATGAGGAATCCCGGTGGGAATATATTCTGACGGCCAGGGGAAAAGCTGTGAGTAAAAAAGCTTAAATATTCTTTCTCACTTGCTGCAGCTGAGGTGTGCTGTCTCAACTAAAGAAGATCATTAATCTTCAACAACAGGCTGTCCATGCAGAGGTTCACCCCTGAAATGGATGTGTTAAACAAATGAAATCCATCCCTGCTAGAGATCTGTTGCTACCCCTGGTTTCTCAGACTTGTGAGTTCTCACAGGAAATATTTTCACAGCAGAATTGCTTTGGAATTTATCCTCTCCTGAGTGGACTGTACCTCAGTGTCAGATCCAAGCTCTGTCTCTGCTTTACCCAAGAAATTGCATCCACATAGGTACTAGCTCATGATGGAGGAGGTTTGTGATGGGATATCTCATGGCTTCTAGTGTCTCTTTACCACTCCGTGAATTAATAGGCCTCTTTTTCTCTTCCTTGCCTCCTGAGATGTATCTGCCTGTGGCAGTGGCCTGAAAACAATACTTCCTGCAAAGCGGAGTTACTCTTAATCATGTGGACCATCCTTTA